AACACAATTGTCCATTTTGATCTCCAGCGTTGTTCAAAAAACAACTGATGTTGCAATTTCAATTGTGACGTCAATCATGTTCTATTGGAATCAGAACATGGCTTTGTTTGTTGTTGCCAAAGCGAAAGAAGAACGTCATATTAGAATTGCATGTCTATGATAGATGTCTTTACTTATATATATAATTCATAAAAGTTTAATTAATTATATTGTGGAGTTTTTAGATTTTCCTTTATAAAAATACCCTTGGGCTTTTTTCAGAATACAGTAGATTACATTTGTATATATATATATATATCAATTTTTATCAGATCTAACAAAATATAGTGGTTTGTTTGTTCCTATCTTTTAAAACCTTCATGTGACCTTTAAAATGCAAAATTATTACAAGTTAATGTTAAAAAAGGATTTTTCATAGTATCTGCTTCAAAAGGCTTTATTAAAGGGTGAAAAAATCAAATTATTGAATTTCTGCTTTTGACATAGATATGTCTTTGTGTACACGAAGCTACAAATGTATACAAAATTTATCCGTTACATATATGTGTTTGAAAAACCAAAACAGTTTTCAATCACCCAAATAGGCTTTGTTGCAGTTAATCTGTATAAAAATAAGGAGATGTGGTGTGATTGCCAATGAGACAACTTTCCACTTAAGTTCAAATAAAATAGATGGAAGCAATTATAGGCAACTGTATGGCCTTCAAAAATGAGAAAAACCCATAATGTATAGTCCATTATGTTTGACATTAAGATGCAACAGCAAAAAAGTCAAACATGTCCAAAGAACACAAACATATACATTTGAAAAGATTATATATAAAGTAATTTTTAAAATGAGTTTTAATAAAAAGCCAATTTTTTAAATAAAAATAGTATTAATGTAAAAAAGTTGAATCTTTCAATCTTAAATTAAACTTTGTTGAAAACTTTGTTGAAAAAACAATAAAATGATAAACACTGAGTGAATTAGAGTAAACAATAAAGACTGAGTGAATTAGAGTAACAATAAAGACTGACAAAGTTTGAAATTAGCAGGGGCCCACTCGCCAATGGCCCCTAAAATTTGGTGTGGGCTACTTAAATTTCTGCTTTTCTTGTATAGGACTATATATGTGGGCTACAAAATTTAAGCTTTGGGCTACCATGCCAAAATTTTAACTTCAATCCCTGACTGAGTGAATTAGAGTAAACAATAAAAACTGAGTGAATTGGAGTAAACAATAAAGACTCAGTGAATTGGAGTAAACAATAAAGACTCAGTGAATTGGAGTAAACAATAAAGACTGAGTGAATTGGAGTAAACAATAAAGACTGAGTGAATTAGAGTAAACAATAAATACTGAGTGAATTAGAGTAAACAATAAAGACTGAGTGAATTGGAGTAAACAATAAAGACTCAGTGAATTGGAGTAAACAATAAAGACTGAATGAATTGGAGTAAACAATAAAGACTGAGTGATTTTGAGTAAACAATAAAGACTGAATGAATTGGAGTAAACAATAAAGACTGAATGAATTGGAGTAAACAATAAAGACTGAGTGAATTGGTGTAAACAATAAAGACTGAGTGAATTGGAGTAAACAATAAAGACTGAGTGAATTGGTGTAAACAATAAAGACTGAGTGAATTGGAGTAAACAATAAAGACTGAGTGAATTGGTGTAAACAATAAAGACTGAGTGAATTGGAGTAAACAATAAAGACTGAGTGAATTGGTGTAAACAATAAAGACTGAGTGAATTGGAGTAAACAATAAAGATTGAGTGAATTGGTGTAAACAATAAAGACTGCGTGAATTGGTGTAAACAATAAAGACTGAGTGAATTGGTGTAAACAATAAAGACTGAATGAATTGGAGTAAACAATAAAGACTGAGTGAATTGGTGTAAACAATAAAGACTGAGTGAATTGGAGTAAACAATAAAGATTGAGTGAATTGGTGTAAACAATAAAGACTGAGTGAATTGGAGTAAACAATAAAGACTGAGTGAATTGGAGTAAACAATAAAGACTGAGTGAATTAGCGTATGTACACAATTTCTAGCACTATAAAAAACTAAAAAAAGATAAAAAAAAGAATTTATCTATTATTTTGTCTTTTTACTTTTCAGCTTCTTGAATGTCAAACATTTATATTAGATTCTCTATTATGGTTGTGGCCTGTTATCTATTTCTTGCATGAAGAGATATATAATTTAGTAGTTTGAATAGCTATGACAATTTTAAAATGATGTCTATAGAGGGGGATTCATTTTTCCATGGCGGAGTAAGATCTAAATCATAATAACATCAAAAAAATTGATACAAATGATTTGAATGACCATTTTATCAAAATTATAAACCCAAATTCTGAAAAAAGAATTAAAATCTGTTTGTATGTATACAAGAAGCTCTTGATTTTAGGGACCACCATACTGTTTCACCAGATACCAATCCTATATAGATACTAATGCATACATGTATTTATACATTGTATACATAAAATTGAGAATGGAAATGGGGAATATGTCAAAGAGACAACAACCTGACCAAAGAGCAGAAAACAGCTGAAGGCCACCAATGGGTCTTCAACACAGCGAGAAATCCCGCACCCGGAGGCGGGCTTCAGCTGGCCCCTAAATAAAAATGTGTACTAGTTCAGTGAAAATCGACGTCATACTATTAAAACTCCAAAACATAAAATGAACTAAAATTAAAAAACATACAAGACTAACAAAGGCCATGGCTCCTGACTTAGGACAGTCACAAAAATGCAGCGGGGTTAAACATGTTTTGTGAGATCTTAACCCTCCCCCTATACCTCTAGCCAATGTAGAATAAACAAACACACAGCAATATGCACAGTAAAACTCAGTTTAAAAGAAGTCAGAGTCCGATGTCAGAATAGGTAACAAAAGAAACTAAGCAAAATGACAATGATACATAAATTAACAAGGGACTACTAGCCGTTATTTGGATCACGCCTCTATTGTGCTCTTTCCAATAAAATATTGAATTGAATTGAATGGAATTGTAAAAATGTTAAAAAATATTTTCTAACATGTTTCATTCTAACCTAGTACTTATTACTATATAACATTGCTAGAATAGCTATGCCAATTTGAAAATTTGAGGTCTATAGAGGGGTTGGGTTCAGTTTTCCATGGTTAAGGGGTTCAATTTTCCATGACTGAGTAAAATATTTAAAAAATATTTTCTAACATGTTTTATCCCTACCTAGTACTTATTAAGTTCTTTATAACATAGCTGGAATAGCTAATAGATATCAGAAGATGTGGTATGAGTGCCAATGAGACAACTCTCCATCCAAGTCAAAATTTATAAAAGTAAACCATTATAACTAGGTCACAGTACTGTCTTCAACACGGAGCCTTGGCTCACACTGAATTTGAAAATCTGAGGTCTATAGGGGGAGGGGTTCAGTTTTCTATGGTAGGGGGTTCAATTTACCATCGCTAGTAAAAATGTTTAAAAATATTTTCTAACATGTTTTATTCTTACCAAGTATTTATTAATGCATAATAACTTTATAATATAGCTGAAAGACATTCAGCTGGATTAGCTATGACAATTTGAAAATCTGAGGTCTATAAGGGGGTTCAGTTTTCCATGGTAGGGGTTTCAATTTTCCATGGCATGGTAAAAATATTTTCTAACATGTTTTATCCATACTAAATACTTATTAATGCATTTTAACTAGATGACATAGCTGGAATAGCTATGACATCTGGAAAATCTGAGGTCTATAGAGGGGGGGGGGGGGTTCAATTTCCTGTTGTGGAAAATTGACCCTGGGGTCAATTTTCCATATGACACAGGAACAGGACATATGACGTCATACTGGTTAGTGCAAAAGGATAGATCAACGATTCACATAATTTTTTTGTTTCACACAATGAGCGACCAATTTGTATTAAGGTCTAGGGTCCGACAAACATGTTTGTGCTTCAAACTTCACCATGTTCACCAGGAACTGGCTAAAACTTCAGTTATACATCGTACTGTACGAAAACATGGTAAAGCACTGTAGACAAGACTGGTCTTTGAACGGAAACTAGATTATCAATTCACTGGTTGATTGGTCAAAAGTATGTCTGAGTAACTGGTTGATTAAAAATGTTTAATATGATGATGATGATAATGACGATGATGATGATGATGATGACGATGACGATGACGATGACGATGACGATGACGATGACGATGACGATGACGATGATGATGATGACGATGACGATGACGATGATGATGATGATGATGACGATGATGATGATGATGATGATGATGATGATGACGACGATGATGATGATGATGATGATGATGATGATGATGATGACGACGACGACGACGCCGACGCCGACGACGACGACGATGATGATGATGATGATGACGACGATGATGACGATGACGACGATGATGATGACGACGATGATGATGACGACGATGATGATGACGACGATGACGACGATGATGACGACAATGATGACGATGATGATGACAATGATGACGATGATGATGATGGATGATGATGATGATGATGATGATGATGATGATGACGATGACGATGACGATGACGATGACGATGATGATGATGATGATGACGATGATGATGATGACGATGACGATGACGATGACGATGACGATGACGACGACGACGATGATGATGATGTAACCCTGCTTTGTACTTGACCAATGTGCTGAGCCGTATTATTAATGTGGTAATTATTAACAAGGTAAACAGTCTGCAGGAAGACATATCACCCTTCCCATACACATTATTTTGACTTCAAGTCAACCAGTCTGCTCTTACTCCTTTATGCCTTTCAATTTGACAACACTAATAATAAGCATTGTATTCAATATATTGCATTTAATTATGAAAATCATATATAGGGTTTACAGCTAAATTCTTATATGCAAGAACAAGAAGAATGATATTACCAAGAAGGAGATAACTTTTGCAAAGTGTACATAATTTTTTACTTTTTTGTTGGCAGGTAAATACCTTGTACAAACAATTCAAGATGATGATAGATTAGAACTGGCATTTATTTGGAACAGAACACAGGAAGCATTAGAAGACTTCGGAAACAAAGAGTTAATCCTAGAAGAGCTTAATGATTTCCCACAGAGGTTGAATTACTTTAGCAGTAGCTTTACAGTATGAAAAGTGTCAGGCTCCATGATTAACCACATGTTTATCCCGTAGAAATTTGGAAGAGCCAGTAAAGAATTACATATTAATTCTTTTAAAACTATTCAAAATAGCAAAGAAATTTTACTCTTAAACAGTATATTTAGCTGTACTATTTGCACAGTCAAATTGCATTGACCCTATAATCATTTGTGATATACAGTCACTGACCGTATATAGCCTTGTTTATGACATTGACAATGTGTTCCCGTAAAGTTTTATTTATGACGTCATTAAAAGTACAGGGTCATGGAATTTTTACGTTGTTCACTCCAAATTAAAAAATGATGGTTTTTACCCTAAATATTTCATTTGGAACAACTGAAAAAATGATGGTTTTTACGAACAGTTGTAGGAGTTGCAGTATATAAAGAATAACCATACATAGTCTCGAACTATAAATTTTATTTGTACTCTACTCAAAACAGGATAGAAATGCTCGGCAAAGCAACCTGTTTCTAAGACTTGTACAAATAAAATTTATATTTCTAGCAATGTATGGTTATTCTATATCTAGATGTTTTTATACGACCGCAAACAAATTTTGCAGTCGTATATTGGTATGACGTTGGTGTCGTCGTCGTCCGAAGACACATTGGTTTTCGCACTCTAACTTTAGTTTAAGTGAATGGATCTCTATGAAATTTTACCATAAGGTTCAATACCACAAAAAGAAGGTTGGGATTGATTTTGGGGGTTATGGTACCAATAGTTAAGGAATTAGGGGCCAAAAAGGGGCCAAAAATAAGCATTTTTGTAACTTCCAGACAATAACTTGTGTGTTAGTGTATGAATTTCTCTGACATTGTACCACAAGGTTCCATATCACAAAGGGAATGCTGGGATTGATTTTGGGGGTAATTGCCTTAAATGTTTTAGGAATTAGGGGCAAAAAAAGGGGCAAAAAACAAGCATTTTTCTAGTTTCATGACAATAACTTGTGTGTAAGTGCATGGATCTTTCTAAAATTGTACTACAAGGTTCCATATCACAAAGGAAAAGCTGGAATTGAGTTTGGGGGTAATTGCCCAAAACGCTTAGGTATAAGGGGCCAAAAAGGGGCCAAAAAGAAGCATTCCCCATTTCCATTCTCAATTTTATTTTCTAGTTTCCAGACAATAACTTGTGTTCAAGTGTATGGATGTCTCTGAAATTGTACTGCAAGGTACCATATCACAAAGGGAATGCTGGGATTGATTTTGGGGGTAATTGCCTTAAATGTTTTAGGAATTAGGGGCCAAAAAAAGGGGCAAAAAACAAGCATTTTTCTAGTTTCATGACAATAACTTGTGTGTAAGTGTATGGATCTTTCTAAAATTGTACTACAAGGTTCCATATCACAAAGGAAAAGCTGGAATTGAGTTTGGGGGTAATTGCCCAAAACGCTTAGGAATAAGGGGCCAAAAAGGGGCCAAAAAGAAGCATTCCCCATTTCCATTCTCAATTTTATTTTCTAGTTTCCAGACAATAACTTGTGTTCAAGTGTATGGATCTCTCTGAAATTGTACTGCAAGGTACCATACCACAAAGGGAAGGCTGGGATTGAGTTTGGGGGTGATGAATCATAAAGGGGTTCAAAAAATTTGGGGGGGGGGGGGTTTCCTTTTTTTTTCTTAAAATTTTCCATTTTAAATTGGTTATTTCTGATTTATATATAAAAGCAAATAATAATGATATGGTTTGAATAGGTAAATTAAAATTTTTTAAGTTCTTAAACCACATTCATTCTGTGTCAGAAACCTATGCTGTGTCAAATATTTAATCACAATCCAAATTCAGTGCTGTATCAAGCTTGAATGTTGTGTCAATACTTGCCCCAACTGTTCAGGGTTGAGCATTTTATTCAAGAATACTGAAATGGAATTTTTCCTCATTAGTGTGGGGCATCTATGCTCCCAACCAATACTATGGTAAGCACTTTTGCACTACTCACATTGGATAAGGATTATATGGCTCAGTTATTGTGTGAGTAGAATAGGTATGAAGTATGTATAGTATCAAGATAAAGCTGGATCAGTAAATATTTCTGAATAATAGATGTCTCTTCATTGCTAAAAATCACAATGGGACATTAATTTCATGTTTTAAGTCATGATGGGGAGAGACAGGTAGGGTGCATATTGAACACTGATTATTCATGTTTGAACTTATATACACATAGTACATGCATGCTTTTACATGTTTAAAAAAGTCACCAGAAATTGTATCATAGGGCTAGCTAGATATGAAAATGTTTACATGAAATTATATATACATGTATAAGTTAGTAGATATTAAAAGGGCAATAAAAATCACAGTAAACGAAGGACAAATAGCATCATGACCAATAGAAAAGAAAAATAACGAAAAAACCAAGACAATATTAACTGTCCACACATGAAACACTGCCATGAAAAATAAAAATAGAACAAAGCAAATTCCTAGAGAAAACTGGGCTGAACACAAGTCTAATTCTGTGACATTCATAAATAAGAAAACGAGAAAAGGATTGTGTTTACTACATATGGTACATGTGTGGTTATCTGCGACATGTGGGATCATCAGTGAAATGTGTGGTCATCTGTCATATGTGAAATCATCTGTCTCATATATGGTCATCTATGACGTGTGTTTATCAGTGACATGTTTGGTCATTTGTGACAGGTTTGTTCATCTGTGACATGTGTGGTGATCTGAGACAGGTTTGGTCATCTGTGACATGTTTGGTCATCTGTTACATGTGTGGTTGTCTGTCAGATGTTCGGTCATCTGTGATATGTGTTGTAATATGTGACTTGTGTAGTCCTTTGTGGTCATCTGTGACATATGTGGTCATCTGTGACATGTGTGGTCATCTGCGACATGTCTGGTCATCTGTGACATGTTTGGTCATTTATGACTTGTGTAGTCATCTGTGACATGTGTGGTCATCTGTGACGTGTGGTCATCTGCGACATGTCTGGTCATCTGTGACATGTTTGGTCATTTATGACTTGTGTAGTCATCTGTGACATGTGTGGTCATCTGTGACGTGTGGTCATCTGTCGCATGCCTTTTCTGTATCCAAGCCATAGAAATTAAATTAACTTTTTAAGAGAGGATTATGGGAACACTTTTGTTTTAGAAACTTAATTTTATAACAGCTATTAAGAACATTTTTAAAGGAAATGGAAAATCTGGAAAACCTCATTAACTATGGTAAATGGAATATATACACCATATGCAGGTCATGCTTGAATCTTGCTGTATAAAATATAAAATATCAAAGTTGAAATAATCTTTTGTAACAAACTTAAAATAAGTTCACAGCCACTGTCAATTTGTCTGTTTAATTTCATTGTATAGTATAACACAGACATAATTATATCTATTGTACAATCATGACAATCGGGTAGATGCAATCAACAACCATGAAGTTACCAAACATTGAATTAAAAGTGAAAAGGCATTATCTCAATAGTTCAACCTCAATTGATTATTTTAGAGTTAAGAAGACAAATTTCATTACTGCTTTTTAGATTCCTATGTCATGTTTAAGAGTGGATTTTATAATGTAATCATGGTAATGAATAGAACTTTGTTTAAAGGGACATTTTTTTATGCCCCCGATGTAGCGGAGGGGGCATTAAGTTTTACCCTTGTCCATCTGTACGTCTGTCAGTACGTCCCAAAATTATTTATTTTCTTTTTTCACCTATTTATTTACTTTCTTCCAGAAAGGAATTTTAATCAGCAACAAAGTACTTCATTAATGACTCAGCTGACAGGTTATAAGTTTCATACTTATTATTTAGATATTTTTTTTTTATCTTCATATCACTATATATTTTCAGGCAGGCAGATTTAATTGTGGAGGTAGCCCATCCTAAAATTACACATGAATGGGGACCTAAATTTCTTCAAAATGCTGATTATATGGTGAGCAAACTTTTTTTAAGATAAGTTTATCAATAAGCAGGATACAGTTATTTTATGTTAAGTTTTGGGACAATAATTTCCTGATACCCTCTTGATTATTGACATATTGTTTTCCCCAGTTCATCTGTTTATTATGTCTGTCTGTGTATTCCTTTGTCTGTTAGTAATATGTTCAACTCTATAGCTCACCTGGCCTTTTGAGAGCTTCAGTGGATATTAGTTATTGTAACTTACTATGTTTACTCTCTTTAGATAAAGAAATTATTGTAATTATCATGATTATTATTATAATTATGTTAATTTTTCATCACTTGGAGATGGGTGTCTGCTATAAAATTTGAATTTTCCAATAATCTTTTCATGTTAAACCACTCAGCTGGTTTGAATCAAAATCGACCGTAGAAATCTTAAGGGGGTCAAGTTTAAAAATTATGTTTCTGTATTATGTTCCTACTTTTCAACCTGTGACTTTTGTTACTTAGGTAGATTATAGGTTAAAATAAATGTATTATTAATCCAGAATAACCTTGTAAAAGTCAACAAAAGCTTCCAAACTTTAGAAAATGATGCCCTTTAGTAATTAAGCTACTGATACAAACATGATCTATAAGAGGTCTGATAGATGTTTCCTGAAGTCAGTAATCCTTTCTGCCACTGTTTCAATAGGATAAGGAGGGCATGCTAAGCCTTAAAGGTGATCTTTTTGTAAAGATAATTGATATGTTGCTGCAATATTTAAACCAGAAGGAATTGAGATACCAGAGATTTTGTGGTCAAACTATAGATCAAAAATTTGATTTTCAACATAAAATGACAAAAATTGCATTTCTCATGCATATTTGTGACTTGGAATATTGAGCACATGCAAGAACCTGATAAATATAAACAAACAACATGGTAAGTTATTTAGTTGTTACTTGCATGTGCTCTTTATTTGTGTAGTCCAAAAACTAGTTGAAAATTGTGCATAGCATTTTTCACAAAAACATGTAGAAATACCTTTTCCATTACATTACAACTATATTTATAATTTTGGTAATAAAACTGAATAAAATGTCCTATGTTTCAATCCTTGTGTTGTCTGTGATTAAATTTATTATTAGACGAAAAGGCATTATGAGCATTTGCCATCACTTAATGTCCATTGTCCACGTAAGTCAGTTTGTCTGTCATTGTAAACTTTAAAATCCTCCCCTGAAACTACTCAGCCAAATGTTAACAAACTTTGCCTGAATGTATTAGGGGATTTGATCCAATAGTAAACATGGCTGCTGTTGCTGAAAATAGAACATAGGAGTAAAAAGCAGTTTTTGGCCTATCTCCTAAAAATTAAAGTAGAAAGAGCTAATCTGACGAAAAATTAAGTTAAAATGATCAACAGGTCAAGGTCTATCTCCTGTAGAATTTTAGAAAAAATCATAAATACAAGATCTATAAAAATGTTACTTAATAAAATAGGATCTACAAATAAGCTAAATAACATAAACTAAAAGAACTAGCCAAGGAATTTGTTTTTGTCCCGGCCGATAAAGCTGCTAATAATATTATTATTGTTTGACGTAAATTTTACATTGAGGTTCTGAAAAAAGAAATCACCAATTCACCAACATTCCAACTGACTCCATTTTCAGAAAACGACATCTGTAACAAACATAAACTTTAAGCTACGGCTCTACAAGCAGAACCAAATACAATGAAAGTCCCAACTATGTATTGGCTTCCTAAGCTACACAAAACACCTTACAAATATAGATTCATTTCATCTTCAAGCCATTGTTCCACTACTAAATTGTCTATTCTTCTTACCAGTACACTTGGTACAATCAAAAACCTGATAATAAATTGTTCAAATAAGGCCTTCGAAAATAGTGGAATTAATTACTTTTGGAGTGTCAAGAACTCGTTGGAAGTACTTGATAAATTGCATGCATATATTGGTGATTTTGAATCTGTTCAAAGTTTTGATTTTTCTACCCTATATACCACATTGCCTCACATTCTCATTAAGAAAAAATTCACACACCTAATTAAATGGGCATTTAAAAAGTCAGAATGTGAATATATATGTTCAAACTCTTTTAGGTCATTTTTTAGTAGCAATAAACAAAAAAACTATGTCAATTGGACATGCTTTGATACTATATATGCCCTTGTATTTTTACTAGATAACATTTTTGTTCGCTTTGGAGATTCCGTATATCGTCAGGTTATCGGAATTCCAATGGGGACTAACTGTGCACCACTTATTGCGGACCTTTTTTTTGTATTGCTATGAGTTACAATTTATGACAAAAATCAGCAAAGACCCATAGAAACAACATCTGATACACAAATTTAATAATACTTTTAGATATTTGGATGATATTTTGTCTCTCAATAATGACGACTTCAGTATGCATACTAAAGAAATTTATCCTGTTGAACTTACTTTAAATAAAGCTAATACTAACAATGACCACTGCCCTTTCCTCGATCTTGATATCTATATCATTAACGGAAAGCTTAATACTAAAATATATGATAAAAGAGATGATTTTTCATTTCCTATCGTTAATTATCCATTTTTAGATGGTGACGTTCACTTGTCACCATCTTACGGTGTTTATATATCTCAACTTGTACGATTCGCTCGTGTATGTAACAATGTTTTAGATTTTAACGAGAGAAATTTATGTATTACTGAAAAATTATTACACCAGGGTTTTCGATATCACAAACTAGTCAAAACATTTACTAAATTTTATCATCGGTATAAGGACATCATTCGTAAATATAGCTCAACATGCAGACTTCTTATACGTTCAGGTACTTCACATCCAATTTTTTATGGAAATATTCTTTATAAAGCACAAAAATGTCAGTATTCACCTCTGAAGCTAACAAAACCTTTAAATAGACTTATTAAGAAGGGATATAGTTACGATACTGTTGTCAGGTCATTAAAGATTGCATATTTTGGCGTTAATATTGATTCACTTATAGGGTCTTTGCATCAGCACTAAACACATTTATTTAAAAACCAGTTGTTGGCATGACACGGGTTATGTTCTTCTCATATATGTTATGATGGTATGATACTAAACCCCTAACGGGAAGGATTGTGCCTGATATTCATATGATGAAGACATAATCTTTCAATCAGTTTAATTGAAGTCTGGAGCTGGCATGTCAGTTAACTGCTAGTAGTCTGTTGTTATTTATGTATTATTGTCATTTTGTTTATTTTCTTTGGTTACATCTTCTGACATCAGACTCGGACTTCTCTTGAACTGAATTTTAATGTGCGTATTGTTATGCGTTTACTTTTCTACATTGGCTAGAGGTATAGGGGGAGGGTTGAGATCTCATAAACATGTTTAACCCCGCCGCATTTTTGCGCCTGTCCCTAGTCAGGAGCCTCTAGCCTTTGTTAGTCTTGTATTATTTTTAATTTTAGTTTCTTGTGTACAATTTGGAGTTTAGTATGGCGTTCATTATCACTGAACTAGTATATTTATTTGTTTAGGGGCCAGCTGAAGGACGCCTCCGGGTGCGGGAATTTCTCGCTGCATTGAAGACCTGTTGGTGACCTTCTGCTGTTGTCTGTTCTATGGTCGGGTTGTTGTCTCTTTGACACATTCCCCATTTCCATTCTCAATTTTAAACATTACTGATAGCAAAAAAGGAAAAAAATAAATATCAAAATGGCATATATTTTACTAGATGAGGCATTCAGGCTCTAAGGAGCCTCTTGTTTTAAGTACAAATTGTGTCTCACAGAACCCAAATTTAAATTTTGGACCAAAATCACTTATCTCAAGTGAAGGTTGGTATAAAGAAAAAATATTGAAAATGAGATAAGAAAAATGTTTGACTAGCTAAATAATTGGCTGGATAACAACACCAAGGATGCTTTGTTTTTTATTAGCAAAAATGACCAACAGGATTGTGCGTCTTTTGATAAAAGAAACTGTCATAATAACAGTTAACATGATCAGAAGAACATGATCAACCAAAAATAGATTTTAGTTCTGAATTATTTTCTCTTCTGCAATGTTTTCGAAGATGCACAAAGGTCTAGGTGAGCAACACAGGATCTGTTAGAGCCTCTAGTTTCTTTCAGTCAAAAAACAGATCTCGGTTATATTTTAGGCAGCAGTGGCTCTGAAAAGACTTCTTGTTACCATTATTTGCAATAGGATTTAAATCATTTACATGTTAATTGCATTTTTTTGGTGATAAAATTTAAATCATCCAGATTGAAAGTTGCAACAAAATATTTTTGACTTTTATCACTGTTTATAGAGAGCATTTATTCTGTTTCAGATAGGATCACCTACAGTTCATAGAGATAGCTTTTATTCTGTTTTAGATATGATCACCTACAGTTCATAGAAAGCCTTTTTTCTGTTTCAGATAGGATCACCTACAGCTTTAAGTGACCAGACATTAGAAACTTCATTGAGGAATGCTTCAGATAAGCATGGACTGTATATTCCAAGTGGTGCATTCTGGGGTGGAGAGGACATTAAAAAGATGGCTGATAGAGGTACCTTACAAGTAAGTCTCTTCTACTACAAAACACTTGCATACTCAGATAAACTGTTACTAAGCATTTTCATGCCCCCGCCATAGCGGAGGAGGCATTAAGTTTTACCCTTGTCCATACGTACGTCTCAAAGTTGGTTTCCATTCTCTATCTTTAGTTTGCCTCAACCAAATGTTATGAAACTTATACAGAATACTTATTACCACAAAACACAGATCAAGTTTGAATTTTGGTGGCGTCACTTTAACCGTTCTAGAGTTATGCCCCTTTACAAATGGAAAAATTGCTGAATATTTTGTTTCTGTTCTCTAACTTTAGTTTGCCTCAATAAAATGTTATGAAACTTATACAAAATGCTTATTACCACAAAATACAGATCAAGTTTGAATTTTGGTGTTGTCACTTTTACTGTTCTAGAGTTATGCCCCTTTACAAACGGAAAAATTACTAAATTTTTCGTTTCCGTTCTCTAAAGTTTGCCTCAACCAAATGTTATGAAACTTATACACAATACTTATTACCACAAAACTCAGATCAAGTACAAATTTGGGTCACTTTTACCGTTCTTCAGTTATGTCCCTTTATAACTTTATATGATATGCAAGCAGGGGCATCATCTGTGTCCCATGGACACATTCCCTATTTATTTTTTATTAACATCTGATCTTCACCCTTGCCAGGTCGGTTATTACTAGTCACCTATTTATTTATGTGGTGAACAATGCTTGGTAAACTTTTTAAAACCTAAGGGAAAAAATTAGGGATTTCAACGAGTACTCGAATAGAGTATATCACTGGGTAGTACAAAGTATCAAATACCAAAATGAGACTTGACTAATCGGACTAAATGTTGTTGTTGTTGTTGCCTTCTTTAAATAAAATTGGTTTTTGCTGAGAATGCCTCTCGGGAAATTGAATAGCAATCTTTGATTAGTGAAATCCTAAAATATGTTTTTGCTTAATTGTTATTTGAAATTCCTCTAAAAAGTGGTGGGCTATGCACCAAGGCAGCTTTCTTAGGCTTACACTTTCAGCTAAACATGTTTAGCCATTCCACCACTTTTACAGTCAGATCAAATATTTTTGTCAGCAGGATTTTCTTCAACAATTTGCAACAAAAATATTGTTATATGCAACTTATTAACCATTTATGTTTTCTCCTTGCTCAAATTGCCTTCCTAAAAGATGCTTCATCAATGACCAGTTATGCAACCTAACGCAAATCAGATTTAGTTAAGGAATATGAGCAGGTTTATTATATCTCCCCATTATTTCCCTAGCCATTGTTGACATTCCTACAGGTTAATATATCTCCACCCAACAACCCATACAACATGATTTTTCTTTATATTAAACAATATGTGTGTATAATTCTAGATGCTTTAAAAAGAATCTCTCATTGCAAGCAGCTATAATAAAGCTGAAAGATATGTATAAATTAGAGAGTATGATAGCTGTAAAAAATAAAAAGATAACTGAATTTGACAATGTATGGAATGTTTTTGAAAAACTTTTATTGAATACCAGCTAATGTCTATTTTTGTTACAATAACTTATGACTATTTAATTATAATCTATTTTAAAGAAAATATTATTGTCATGTTATGTACTTGATCTGTGTTGATGGCTGTTACGAAAGAAATATGTCTAGTTAATTTTGCAAATATTTTTCATCATAGATATTTGATATTTAAAATATAGATAGGGATGTAACTGGATAATCCTTTTGTTTTTTTTATTTTTTTTTATTTTATTTTTTTTTCCTTCTTCTTTTCTCTTAACTCCAATCTGTTAATTATCATTATTTATTTATTTATTTATTAATTTTTATATATTTATTTTTTTTTATTTTCAATAGAAAATGTAAAATATTTCCATTAAGATGTATTTATAATAATGACATTGTATATATCTTATATGTATTATATTGTATGTATGTCATGTATATGTTGTAATTGTTGGAAATAAAAAAATCAAAAGTTAAAAAAAAATATATATCTCCACCCTTAATTTTCCCCTAGCCGTTGTTGACATTCCTACAGGTTAATTATATCTCCCCATTATTTTCCCCTAGCCTTTGTTGACATTCCTACAGGTGAATTATATCTCCCCATTATTTTTCCCCTAGCCGTTGTTGACATTCCTACAGGCTAATATATCTCCACCCTTAATTTTCCCCTAGCCGTTGATTACATTCCTACAGGTTAATTATATCTCTCCCATTATTTTCCCTTAGCCATTGTTGACATTCCTACAGGTTAATTATATCTCCCCCATTATTTTCCCTTAGCCATTGTTGACATTCCTACAGGTTAATTATATCTCCCCCATTATTTTCCCTTAGCCATTGTTGACATTCCTACAGGTTAATTATATCTCTCTCATTATTTTCCCGTAGCCGTTGTTGACATTCCTACGGGTTTATAGTTGTAGGGATATTTCTATTTTGAAGGCACTATGTTAGATGTAAAATTTTCTTTATAGAAAAGCACTTATCACCCTGGTTCCTCAAATCCATAATAAGGTTCTTAAAAGTCAAATAATTGTATTTTTTTTGGTGTTTTTTCTTTTAAGAATTTGGTGTTATATGTAGATGTCTAGGTTTAAGCTATTTAAGACTTGTTGAAGGCCTCACTGTGACTTTGAAATGAAGAACAGCAATAAAAGTGCTGTTCCTTTGCTTTTTGTGTGTTTTTTTGCTGTGCATGTACTGATTTTGTGTCATGGATGGATACTGCATATCCTTTGTTTTTCTATTGTAGACTAGTCTAAGGCTGATTTAGACCTTGACAACAATATTTTTTTATATAGTCTCTATTGATGTATACATATATCTTTATTAATACCAAAGTCTATATAAGTTATAGATGCACATTTGAATTACATCCACATCAATAATACATATATAAACACAAAATATGTGACAGAACAACAGAAAATGTTGTAATTATAAATAAATACTATTTTAACATATCGATTCTAAGGTTAAAAGATCTAAAGATAAGTTTATCTAAATTACACAGCTGCTTTACATTGTTTGTACTCATTAGTTTAATAAATTTGTACATCAATGGTTTTTATAGACTGTAAATTGACCGCAAATTTGCTTGCTTTCGTATTATGTTATGATGTTGTCTGCGTCTGCGTCTGAAGACATTTTGGTTCGCAGACAATAACTTGAGTATAAGTTCATGGATCTCTATGAAATTTTAGCACAAGGTTCCATACCACTAAGGGATGGTTGGGATTGTTTTTGGGGTTATTGTCCTAGCGGTTTTGTAATTAGGGGCCAAAAAAGGTCAGTTTTACTGGTTCATGGAAAATAAATTGGTTAGCAGACAGTAACTTTTGTATAAGTGTATGGATGTGTTAGAAATTTTAGCACAAGGCCCATACCACAATGGGAGGGTTGGGATTGATTTTGGGGGTTATTGTCTTAGCTGTTTTGTAATAAGGGACCAGAAAGGGGCCAAAAACAATTATTTGTCTTGTTTTAAGACAATAACTTGAGTGAAAGAGATATTTCTCTGGTCAAAATTTTAGCACAAGGTTCCGCACCACAATAGGAAGGTTTGGATTAATTTTGGGGGTTATTGTCATAGCTGTTTAGGAATTAGGGGCCAAAAAGGGGGAAAAAACAAGCATTTTTCATGTTTCAGGACAATAATAGGTGTATAAGAGTATAGGTTTCTATGAAATTTTACCACAAGGTTCCATACTTTAAAAGGAAAGTTTTGAATGATTTTTGAATGATTTTTGGAGGGTCATGGCCCATACCGTTCAATAATTAGGGGTCAAAAAGGGGCCGAAAACAACTAATTTTCTGGTTTGCAGACAATAACTAGAGTATAACTGTATAGATCTCTATTAAATTTAAGCACAAGGTTCCATACCACAATAGGAGGGTTGGGATTTATTTTGGGGGTTATTGTTGATGCTGTTTAGTAATTTTAAAGGGGCCAAAAAGGGGTCAAAACAAGCATTTTTCATGTTTCAGGACACTTATTTGTGTATTAGAGTATGGATTTCTATGAAATTTTACTTCAAGGTTCCATACTTAAAAAGGAAAGGTGGGATTGATTTTAGGGGTCATGGTCCAAAGCTTTTAATAATAAGGGGCTGAAAAGGGGCCAAAAAAACTAGGATTTTCTGATTTCTGGACAATAACTTAGGTATAAGTCTATTTATTGCTATTTAATTGTGCTACAAGGTGTTATACCATAAAATAAAGTTTGGGATTGAATTAAGGGGTTATGACCCTATTGATTTAGTTAAAAGGGGCCAAAACCAATACTTTGTATACCTTGCTTTTTTCTTTATCAATTTCAATGGGGTTTAATTCAAAAGTCTTGAATTCTTGGGAGTCTTTAATATATATGCTGAATCTAATTGGGTATTGAATTTGGATTTTAGTGTCTGTTTTTGAAATGATCCATATTAAGGTCCAAAGGGTCCAAAATTAAACTTTGTTTGATTTCGTTAAAAATTAAATTATTGGTATTCCTTGATATGCTGAATCAAATTGTGTATTTTTTTTTTTTTAATTTTGAGGCCTGTCTTCCAATTGGTCCACATTAAGGTCAAAAGGGTCCAAAATACAACTTTATTTATTTAAAAAAAAAATTGAATTCTTGGGGTTCTTTGATATGCTGAATCTAAGCCTGTATTTAGATTTTTGATTTGGGGCATGGTTGGTCCACATTAAGGTCAAAAGGGTCCAAAATACAACTTTTTTTATTTAAAAAAAAAATTGAATTCTTGGGGTTCTTTGATATGCTGAATCTAAGCCTGTATTTAGATTTTTGATTTGGGGCATGGTTGGTCCACATTAAGGTCAAAAGGGTCCAAAATACAACTTTTTTTATTTAAAAAAAAAATTGAATTCTTGGGGTTCTTTGATATGCTGAATCTAAGCGTGTATTTAGATTTTTGATTTTGGGCACAGTTTTCAAGATGGTCCAAATTGAACATTGTTTGATTTCATCAAAAATTAAATTGTTTGTGTTATTTG